CAGAAGCAGTACCCATCAAAGACATTACTGCTGAAACGGTGGCCCGTGCCTTCGTCGAACGATGGGTAGCAAACTGCGGCTGCCCAAAAACCATCACTGCAGATCGTGGACGCCAGATCGAATCTGAACTTTTCCATTGTCTGACCGCAAAATTAGGAATCACTCGCTTCCGAACGACGGCCTACCACCCACAAACAAACGGGCTAGTAGAACGTTTTCACCGACAACTTAAAGCGTCACTATCAGCCTCAAACATTTCTCAGTGGAGTGACGCTCTTCCACTCGTCTTACTAGATATTCACAATGCAGTGAAAGCTGACATTGGATACACTGTAGCTCAACTAGCTTATGGTACGACCCTTCGAATTCCAGGAGAATTCGTGGATCCTTCAGCCTCTTCGATGCACATGGATCTAACCTCCTACACGAACAGGCTTACAAACTCAATGCGTTCAGTTAAACCTGTTTCTACTCGACCTCAATCAAGTGATGTTTTCGTTCACACATCGACGACCTCTCGAATCAGCATACGAAGGACCTTTCAAAGTTCTTCAACGCGAACCTAAGTACTTTATAATCGATAAGAACTGAACCAACGATAACATCAGCATCGACCGCCTCAAAGCAGCGTATCTAGAGGGAAATCCTATTCACGTCGATTTTCCTTCAATAGAATCGCACGACACAACTCCTGCCCTTATAATACTTCAATCGACAGCCGACACACACGTTGATACTTCAACGGTATCAGAAAATAAGCTCAAAACAACGCGTTCTGAGAGAAGTGTAAGATTTCCAGAACATTTAAAAGATTACCGCACGTAATTTTACATCGTCTCGATTTTCCATTGCATTATATATAATTTTTCTTTTTTTAAAAAAAATTTTAATATACTTATATATTTTTACTTTTTTTATTCAAAAAAACCATATTATAAAAATCATTTTTTACGCTATTACGTGAGCATGAGTTTATCTTCCATGTTTTCGCCCGCATTGTGTTTTCATGGGCGTACGAGTGTATTTCGACATGCACTTACATATTTTTCCTTTCTTTTCCAGGACGGCTGGAAAAGAAGATGAAAAGAACGATGAAATTCGCGAGAAACGGAAATCTTCATTGTACTTTATCCTTTTTTTACTATATTGTACTATATGGTCCCTCATATTGAGGAAAGACGACCAGGCGCTGCTAAATAAAACAAGTTACGAGAATAGTATTTACCAACAACAAGCTTGTTGGTTTTGAACTTCTGGCTGGCCATGTCTTAGGGTCATCACTACCCCACTAGGTGGGAGTGATCTATAGCGGTAAATAAATCCCCAAAATGAATAGCTCTGTGAGTTTTCAACATCGGATGCTGACCACAGTTTTAGTGGACTCATCTAGCTGAAGGCGCTCGGTCATGCATCCGCACCAGATCACATGTGGGAACGCCGTGCTCAACATCCGTCACAATCGCTAGCGAGATTAGTTCAGACGATTCTCGTTATGTTGATAGCTTATCAAATATATCTTCGATCTCCTCGCCTCTGCCTTTTGATTTCACTTGGTGGGTACGCTTCATATTAGAAGGTGTTACTGGTTTAATCGTTGTCGTACTCCAAATACCTGTTGTATTCTCAACGGAATAGAAGAAGCTTTCGCTTAACGGACTTCCGTGTTTAGTCTTAGTGGATCATCGATACCTCCAGGCAGGAACCCAGTTAGATTAACGATAATAGAAGAAACCGAAATTGGTAAGTCATGATATGGTATTATCCTTAGTCCTTAAGTCTAGGTCAAGTTTCCTCCTAAAGGATTCCTAAGGAATTAAGAATGTGGTGCAAGTTAGAAATTTGCGTGGAAATGTTAAAAAGCGTATAGAGCAGTTGTAGTTAAGGAAGACAAACCAGTCATTTGGACTCAAGTTCAATGGAACAGATGAGAACACTGCGAAGAGCTCATACGCAGACCAAAGTTACTGAACTTACTGTAGATCGAAGCGCCATACATAGACCTTTTTATAGATGCTCTCCCACCAACAGTGAAACGGATCAGTTGGGCCACCAGAGAAATCAAGTTGCATTAAACACCAGGACCAAGCAACATACCCATCAAAGCACTAGGGTCAGATAAAAGGGTAACCGCAAAGATGCTGTGCATTTTCTTTGGAAAGATTTATGAGGAAGAAAAGTATCAATAGACTGGATTGAAGGGTACAACATCAGGATATCATCGAATGACCTTATTATGTGTAGGTACTGCAAAGATGTTGAATTCTTATCAGTATTAGGCAGAGGTTTCAACAGCGTTGTTGAACTCGAATAGAAGATTCGGAACTCGATCATATTTCAGACAGACAACATAGATTTAGTGAAAGTATCCACTAAACCGTGACAATTCGGATTGTTACTGAATACTTAGTTAAACAAGACTTGTTGGTATACATCAACTTCCTTGCTTTTAAGAAAGGATTCGATTGAGTAGACAAGAGAACCTTGTGAAATCTTCCTGAACATTACGGTGTACCTTGGAGACCATTACCACTACATGGAATTCTCAAGACGGACTACAATGCAAAGCCATACTTGGAGAACAACTCACTGATACATTCCATGTGAAGACTTGGGGTGATTTTGGAAACTGCTGAATGCTATTCATATCACGAAACAACATAATGACGATAGCCAATTGTCGCTACTAATTTAAATTAGAAGAAAAATGGCAAAAAATTCTTCTTAACTAAATAGTTCTAAATATATGGTGCATATTGCTTCACGCATTTGAACTCTTAAAATAACACTGTAGTAAAATGGACACAAAAACTGTAAATTGTCAACGTGGGTTATCTGTGTCGATGAGTGGGGACCTATTTAAGCTGTAGGGGAGTGGCGGGACCCCACAGCTTACGTCAAAGTCACACCATGAGGTTAGTAAGTAGCATGGGTCACCCTTACGTTGTACCCAGGTTCTGTGGCTAATTTAATGACCGTATAGATAACGACATTACAGAAATGTATTGGTGATAATAAATATAACAGAGTGCTACTGCTGCCTCATGGGGTGCAATTGTTCAATGCTCAGTGATTGTCCTAAACCTTGACGTGGGTCTATAATCGGCGATTCGACTGCCGGGTGACTTGGTAAAGGCTGTGACATGTCACTGACCTTTTACAACTGTTAGGAATTCTAGGAAAGTTAGAAAACACTAAATCACTATCAATTCGTCACAAAACGTCCTTCAAGTACATACACTTGGAGTTAGATGGTGAAAACTGACCAATTGATCCTCACTTACTTCATATGCACCACAAAAAATACATAACCTACCGTAAAAATATGCGAAATTCGAAAGAATATTTCAAAAGAACTCAGTAATAACGTCCCTCATAACCACTATTGATAATACCTCAAATTGAGATGGAAAAGATGTGAAAACTACAACTCACTCCCAAATAAAAGGATGATTTTACACATTATTTTTCTCTGTCAAATCCTTAACGCTTCTAGACATCTCCTTAAACACCTACTTAAGTTTAGCTCCAACACAAACCTAAGGGGTAACAACACAGCAGATTGGACTGTAGACGCAACTTCTACTGGTTAAGGGTTGACAAATGCTGGAATTCGCTGCCGGCTGAGCTAGTTCAAGCAACTTCCCATGAGTCCTTTAAGAGGAAACTCGACCTATTCTTAAGAACTATGGATAATATTGAAGATGCCACAGGTATTCAGATTTCGACAACGCTTTAACCAGTGACACCTTCTAATATGAAGCGTACCCACCAAGTGAAATCAAAAGGCAGAGGCGAGGAGATCGAAGATATATTTGATAAGCTATCAACCTAACGAGAATCGTCTGAACTAATCTCGCTAGCGATTGTGACGGATGTTGAGCACGGCGTTCCCACATGTGATCTAGTACGGATGCATGACCGAGCGCCTTCAGCTAGATGAGTCCACTAAAACTGTGGTCAGCATCCGATGTTGAAAACTCACAGAGCTATTTATTTTGAGGATTTATTATCCGCTACAATATCACATTATGATTTACCAATTTCTTTTCCCTCCATTATCGTCAATGTAACTAGGTTCCTGCCCGGAGGTATCGATGATCCACTACTACTAAACACGGAAGCCCGTTAAGTGAAAGCTTCTATTCCGTCCACAACCTTTTGAACCATTTCAACTGAATGTTTTAGCTTCATTCGTGTGAATGTTTATAAAACATTCGGATCAAATAAAATGTGTAATCTACTTAGACTGGCATGGGATTCTTCCTATGAAGTGAAACTGAGTTAATTGAAGTCTTCGTGTACTCGTAGTTGGTTTTGTATCGTGTTTGATAGTGGCTGATTTAAAGTAGACGTTACTTTCTAGTGTGATGTTTGTTCTTGTTTCTCTGACGGATACTGTTGTAATTAAGCCTAATTACATCGGTTCAGATATGAAAGAAATAATGGAGCAGGAGCTTAATTCTCGTTTCTGCAGCAAAGTAAGCACCAAATATTTTGTTTATTTTGTAGAAATAAGTACATTAATGTTAACGTTTATAGCTAAATAGAAATGGTACTTTAGATGCATAAATATGGGCCGTGGATTTTAGCTGTTATATACCCGCTTAACTTCATTCGAGCTTCACTAATTTATGTGTATGCAGACAGGGCGGTATCAAGATGTTCCTCAATAATTTTGTTGCTTGTTCTGGGTATGTTTCTGAATTCATTTCCCTTCGTTATGGTGTCCCGTATGGAATCCTTCCTTTCGCACCAATTTCTACATCACAGTCGCCCGATTTTCGTGTTCCACTTGTCTATTCATTTAACACAACTGGCTAACCTTTATTGGTTTGCTAGTTGGAATTTAATCAATCTCAGCACAGCAACCACCAATTGGCTTACATACTCATCTGTCGATCACTTTTCTGTTGCCTACATATGGTGATTTAAACGCCAATGTGCGTAGAATTAGTACTTTCCAACCTGGTATCAATGTGGCTGTTTTTATAAGTTAAACAGGTTAATTGCTACAAGACACATTATGATTATGTTACAACAATACTCACATCACATGCAGTTAAATGAACGTTCCATCATGCTAGTGGGTTTATGTGCTTTATATATCATCAAAAATTATGAGCTTTCCAAATCTAGATTCATGTAAACAGGCAAGTTAATAGTTTCATTCAAATAAGGCTTGTTTAGTTTCTATCATTCATAATTTAGGATTGACCGTCTAGTTAGTGTCATTTATTTAGGTATTCGGCATATGTACAACTGCTTTGTATTTGTTATTTTAGTTGTTTCTTTCAAATATTTCTACTTGCAGGTTATTTACAAAGTTGGTCTGTGCATTTCTTTATGGGACATTTTGAAAGTTGAAGAAAGCTTTATATCAGATGTCGATGGTGCTTATTATACTACAGGTAGTAAAATTTCTTTCTCTATCAGTGCTGGCTTATTAGTGAGCTTTCGAATAGTTTGCTTTCGTCCATTTATTGATGAAATTCTTATTGGAATTGTAAAATCTCTCTCCAAAGCTGGCTTACGTGTGTCACTGAATTTTTTCGATGATGTATTTATACCTGCAGAAAAACTTCGCTCACCTTCAAGATAGTAAATTCTATCAATTTGTTATTCACTCTTCCTTTTAGCGATTATGAACAAAATGCATGGATATGGGAGTATGCGTACGAAGGTGAAGCAGCTGAATTGCGCATTGACAAACATGATACGATTCGGTGAGTATTCAAGTTTATTACACTTGGTATTGTTTGGCTTGTATCTTCCCATTGAGGTTTAAGACTGCAATTGAACAGTCTATTATTGGCATATGTGCATACTGTGCGTATGCCTCGATATTGCCTTAATTCACAAGCTTTTGGTAGTAAGCGATGATGAATAGTGGCTAGCAGTGGAATCCAGGACGCGCGTTTCGTCCTATTTGGGACTCATCAGCTGGATATGCCTGCATCTCAAAGTTGATGTTCACTCTGGGACTCGAACTCAGTATCATTCGCCTCAAACGCCATCGCGTTATCCACTCAGCTACTGAGCCCTGATAACCACTTGCTTGTGCAATGGGGTGTGACAGCAGTAAGGTGTTTCCCTCGAGCAACTAGCATCTGTAGCGATGCTGCCTTCTCACAAGGAAGAAAGGGGTTAGAAAAGGTTGACCCTAAAAATGTCACACCTCACCTTACCCCACGGATTTCCGTCTCCGGCGATAAGGCCTTTTAAAGAACAGAGCTAACACGTTAAAAACTCCCCACAAAAAGGCCTTGCGAGACCGGCCTCAAGCAGTTGTATCTTGAGCTTTGCGGCCACACTCTCAGGTCGTTAAGACCAACACTAATCCAACTTCCTTTTCAGGTTCCTCAAGAAACACCCTTCCACGGTGTGGGCAACCGGGAAGTGACATCAGCCCTCATACCCGCAACAACACACGAGAGCAGGTTGGTCACAATCAAATCCTTCCTACAGCTGACAAGTCTCTTATCTCCACGACTAACCCTTCTCACTTTCCTTTATCACCTCGCACTGCTTATACAAACGATTCGAGTACGCGGAACGTTATTCCTGGTCTCCTGAAACCTTGCTGTAAACTGCAAGTAGGAGCTTTTAACGTCCGAACACTGCGCCGAATACGAAAACGGGCTTCCTTAGCAAGGACTCTAGAGTCTCACGCCATCGATGTATGCTGCGTCTCCGAAACTCGTATACAGGATCCGAGTAGTGTCATTCATTTGACCTCCCCATGTCAAAGTAACGAACCAACTCTATTTACGCTTCCTGTATCTGGAAGCCCTGATGCTGCTTCCAGTGACCTCACTGGTGTAGGTATAGCATTGAGTCCTAGAGCAGAAATAGCTCTCTTAGACTGGGTCCCGGCAGAAAGTCGCTTGTGCGCTGCCCGATTAAACGGGACGGTAAGGACTCGGGGAGATAGGGACACTCATTGCCTCTTCGTCGTTTCTGCCTACTCTCCCACTGACTGAAGCTCAGATGAGGTAAGAGATGAGTTTTACAGAGAGCCTTTTGACCTCCTCCAAAAAGTTAGGCGCTCTGATGTAGTAATAGTGGCTGGTGACTAATGCACAAGTAGGTAAACTAAGTGAAGAGGAAAGACACCTGGGTGGATCTTATGGTGTTGTGGCTCAAAGAACAGATAATGGTAACCGTTTAATGCAACTATGCTCAGCTAACCGCCTGTTTCTAGCAAATACCAACTTCAAGCATAAGGAACAACATCTTTTGACATGGAGACCCCCGAATTCATCTCAACGTTGGACCCAACTAGATCATATCGCTATCAGCCACCGATAGAGGGGCTCGATAGAAGGCTATCGCTTATTCTGGAACACATGCTGAGATTCAGATCATGCTTTGGTGCGAGCGCGTATCTGTTTGTGTCTTACTGGAGGTAGGAGAGACTCTGCTAGCAAACCTTAGGGTTCTACCTAATGATAGCCAAGCTAAAAATGTATTTCGGGGACAAGTAGAAAAACAGTTAGGCAGTCATGTAAGTAATACCCACCCAGAAGCAGCATGGAATGATATCCGGAAAGCTGTGGAAACAGCAGTGATATATGCTAGCAAGGTAATCCACAAGGTTAGGGAGAAACACTGGATCTTAGCAGCATCTACCGCACTGATAGATGCTCGAAAACTCATTCCATCTGGCTCTGAATATAACGAAGAGCGGAGTCATCTTAAGCGCAAGCCGACAAGAAGCCTACGTAATGATCGTGAACAGTGGTGGGTAGCGAAAGCAAGAGAGATGTAAAATGCAGCGGCAATAGTTAGTATCAGACCTTCAGCCACACGTATAATGAAAGCCAAAACGGCTTATGTCCGTATGGGCCATCTTTGGCGCCTTCGTGATGTCCGTCAGTCTGTAAAATTTCGGATCTACAACGCGTCGGCGAGAGCAGTTCTGCTCTATGCTTGTGAAACCTGGCCTCTCCAGGTTTGATCATCGTTGTCTCCGAAGGATTGCTGGCATCCAGTGGCAACACCATCTTGAAACATCGACTTCGGTGGCTTGGACATGTTCTACGAATGTCGTCCCAGAGAATTTCACGTTGTGCATTATTTGTCGACTCTGGGACTGACTGGAAAAGGTGGAGAGCTGGTCAGTTATTGACATGGTGTCGGGGTATGAAATAAAGCTTCGTAGGGCTGGCTTCTGTTATTCCTTCACGACTCCTCGTCTGGGGTCCGAGAGATGGTGCGACACAGTGACTAGAGACGTTATCTGATATGGCTCAAAATAGAAGCCAGTGGCAATCCTGCTGTAACCTTCTTTTACTTTCTTCATAAAAAGTGGTCGCTTCTTCCTTAACTGAAAGAATTCTTATGGTAGTACCCTCTCGTTTCCCCCATTATTATTATTATTATTATTATTATTATTATTATTATGATTATTGTGATTATTATGATTATTATGATTATGATTATTATGATTATGATTATGATTATTATTATCATTATTACTATTATTATTATTATTATTATTATTATTATTATGATTGTGATTATTATTATTAATTATCATTATTATTATTACTATTATTATTATTATTATTATTGTGATTATTGTTATTATTTATTATTATTATTATTATTATTATTATTATTATTATTATTATTATTATTATTACCTTATCCCAACCTGTTCTTTTTTTTTTTTCTTAAACGCACCTTACCTTCTTTTTCTTCCCATTCTCTTTGTTTTGTGTGGCGCATAAATATCTGGTGCCCCCTTTTACCAATATTTGTGTTCAAATAAATAAACTGATCGTGCAAAAGTCCTCTTGTGACAATCACAGAGGAATTAGTTTGACTAATATAGTGTGTACAATATTAGCTTCAATAATTCATCGACACCTAACTAAAGCTCGTGAAGAGCAGACTAGAGAAAACCAGGTTGGTTTCAGACCTGAACGTGGCTGTATAGACCAGATATTCACACTACGTCAGGTCCTAGAATATAGACAATAGCAACCGATGGTTAAAGACCCTGAATGACATGTCTCACAACCGTTTGCAATGGCGCAGGTGCATCCACTCTTTGTGTTCTCCCAAATTCTAATCTTCTGAGCTCTTCATGTCCCTTTTTTTCTCTTCGAAACTATTCCACTGGATTATACTCCTTGAATAACATCTTCAAACCCTAATCTTTCCGATTACTGCTTCTACTTTTACTACCTCTACCACTATGGTATTTGAATCGACAATTGTATCTCTGTGCTAATGTGGTATGGCAATTTGAACTGATGTACGTACGTACGAAGTTCTACGTTGTTGCAGAGTGACTAACTTACAGCTTAGATATATGACTTGTAAGCTTGTTGATTGAGGTCCTCACATACCAGGTAGATCGTTTTCGTTGAGGTAATCTCAGAAGTAAAAGATATCAGCTCCAGAAACAAAGTTGTACTCACAATTGATTGATCACTGTGTGGTGATCAGTGTCATGTGTGTCAAGTCCTTATTAGTGCAGATCGAATGCTATCGACCATGTTGCAATGTGGCCACTAGTCTAGGTGACTCAACACTGCGTGACACGGGGTCGAATTCGTCAGGGAGCACCAGTCCCCTCAAGATTACAGGTACACCTTGCTGACGAGTGCCAAGTAGCACGAAACCCGGGTCCAGGGTTTCCTGTCGACTACTTCCAACCATCATCTAATCTCATAAAGTTGTACTACCGGTTATGCTGTGTTTTGGCGGCAGTAGGTTGTCTTCCACAAATAATCAGGATTTCTTACTGTCGTACCTTTGCACAGACAGAAGAGCTTGTAAAGATCTTCCTTTTCACTCCACGGATTTCCAGTGTTAGCAATAAGGTTCGGAGAGTACGGAATTAGTACAGTGAAAACTATCCAGTTAAATATCTTGTGTGGCTGGTCTCAATTATTTGTTTCTGTGGCTTTGGCGAATAAAAGTATTTATACTAATCCCGTTTTATTTCGTTCCTTGGGAGGAAATATCCTTCGTGCCAAACTAAGAGGTGACATATTTGTAGCGTTTCCGAAACCTGGATACAGGAAGTTCAGTCATGAACGTGACTACGCAACTAATGTGGAGAATTAGCGCAGTTTATCTTTAGGCTGTTTGGAAACTGAACAGTGATTTCTCGCTAACCTGTAAGTGTATAGTTGGTGTTGATTTCTGAAGCGAAACGGGAGCTACCATATCTAATCCCAGCTGAACTTCAACCAAAATATATAATAATTCCATTTGAATTCCGAGGATTTCGAGTCAATTCTGTTTGGTCTTGATGTAATTAAATCCATTTTCAGAGTTCACCCTAATATTTCCGTGTTTATATTTAAAAATACTCTGTTTCAGTTCATTTTATTTTGGATTAACGAGGTGTGAAAACTGTCTCTTTCGATTTCCGTTGTAGATTTCGTGTAGTTGAAGAAGTTTGGTCTGATCCAAACCCAGATAGTGACAAAACTAACATTTCAACTTCTAATGACCCATTAGAGTGCGGTGATGGTAATCCAGACTCTTTAATTGAACCCAAAGCCCCCTATACAATAATCGTGAGTTTATTTCCGGTATTTCCGCAATTGTCATTTCTGTTACCACGATTTTTTGTCTGTGAAAGTATTTATTAGCGTAGCTCCTATCAAGCATCTAAGTTACATGGTTAAAAACTGATAACTGCAGTATTTTTTAGCCGTTCTGCTCTATTTTGCAATGCACTAGCACGAAGCTATGGTCTTCCTATGTACTAGACGTAATACTATCAGTTTATGTGCAGAAAATATTAACCCTTATACTAATGACCTAATTATAATAGATAACCATCTATTTGAGGACTTAAGATGGTGGAGAAGATTTGTAGCTCAGGTGGAGTTTTGTTTTCTGAGCTGAATGGTTTAGTTGTGGAGCTTTCACCATTCTGAACAATATCATCAGCAAGAACTTCAGGTAGATTTGAAGTGTTCGAGTTTCTTCACGTACGGCTCACAGCTTGACCTGAGAGCCTGTTCAAGTGACAACTGCTTGATACCGGTCACACACGACCTGTTTGCGGGTAGCCTTTGTGTTAGTTCCATAATTGTTGAAACCTTATAGCCGGCGATGGGTATCTGGGATAAGTCAAGGTGTGCATCTCTAGGCTCGACTTTTTCTAACCCCACCCTTCCTTTGTGGGAAGGCAGCATTTCCATTATGCTGGTTGTCTGAGGGAAACACCTTACTGTCGTCACACCTCTGTACAGTCAGCAGTACGACTTCGCCCTCGGACCTCGGGTTTGCTACTTTTAGTCTTACTGTTCTTCAACCGATCTGCCTAACATGATAGGGGCCTTGAGGAGCGATTGTCTTAGTCAGTATTTCCCGATTGGTTCATCACGATAGGTAAGCCCGATCACCACGTGAAGGTAGCGGCAACGTTGTAGTTGACTGACTGTAAGTGTGGATACTTTTATGTTATTATTGGTGTAAGTAGTTAAAGGCTTTGCTTTGTAACGTTGCAACACTATGGTTTTTTTGGTTACTTACGAAGTTTATTTTTATTCTTTCGATTTAGCACTTTACAGTTTACATTCGAATTATCGTTCCCTAATATTCTTTATCATGGTTACCTGAATGGATTCTAACCCAACCAATATTTCAATATGTTTTTTATAGCCTATGTTTCATTCTTTTTGTACAATCCATGTTCTAAAGTAACAGATTTGTTTTGATAAAGTTAACAAGATCATCTGGATTTCACTGTTGAGAATGCTTGCCGTGATACTTCTTTTTAAATTTTTTTCACTCTAGTAGCGCAAGACTTTCGTAGCGCTCAAATTAATTTTATTTGCAATGCTGAAGACTTGTATTCCCATATCTTTATAGACCTGCAGTTTTTAGTTGAGGTATCAATTCATTTTTGTTTATTTAAACACATAAACATTGGTACAAAGGACCACCAAAGTGTATATGCACCACACGACAAAAGTGATATTGTGAAGAGATAGAGAAAGGAAGGTGAGTATAACAAAAAAATGAATAGAAATTAGTATATGAGAGTGAAAATATGATAATAATTGGTGAAGCAGTTTAGTTAAAAGAAATACAACCAGGAAGGATTCTTCCAGCTAAAGTTCCTCTCACTTATATAAAACAAGTAAAAAAGTTATAGCAGGATTGCTACCGGCTTTTATTCTGAGCCATGTCCAATAACGTTTCAGACCACTGTGTTGCACTATCTCTAGGACTCAAAGCGAGGAGTGACGGATAGACATTTAAGGCTTACACAGCTGTTTTTCACATCAGAGTGTCGCTTCATCCACTGATCACTCCTCTGCTTTTTTCAACCAGTCCCGGCATCGGCAAATAATGCACGGTGCGGAATTCTCTGGGATGACATTCATAGGACATGCCCAAGCCACTGAAATCGATGTTCCGAAATGGTGACATTAATTGAATTAACGTCATTGTGCTCATACACATTGTTGAACCTCCACATTACTAACATAGTGTTGCCACTGAATGTCAGAAATCTGCCGGAGACAACAATAATCCAATACGGAGTTACTTAACATCCTCAACTCGGAGAGCAGGTTTCACAAGCACAGAGCAGAACTGCTCTCACCGATGAGTTGTAGATCCGACCCTTTCAGTCAGATTAACATAACAACGTTACCAGAGATGGTTCCGAATTATTTATTTGAACACATAAACATTGTTGCAAAGGGGCACCGAATACATATGCGCCACACAAGTCACTTGATATATGTGCGGGCTGTGGCACTGCCGGGATGCCCAGACCGAAGCAGGTGGTTTTCTTAGTAGACCACGCCCGGAGCCTTCGACTTAAAGGTCTGATCCACAAGGCAGTGGAGCAACATTAGGAGATGCAGTCCCATGGTAGTTGGTGACCAACGATTGGTTCATACGCCATTTGTTCGTTCAGGATACTGGAGCTCATGTGCACCAGTGGTTTGGAATCAGGGTTTTCCAACTCTCCAAAGTGAACTCTCCGTGTACATCAACCCGGTTAAAGAGCCTAGCATTCGCTTTCCGTTCTCTCGATTTCGTAAACAACACCCCTGCCGCGAGAATGCAGTGAGTAGGACTTCCCTGGCAGTGGCTGTATGCATGTGGCCATGTGAGAGCATTTCGAGTAGGAGAATTAACTCTTCCCACCATCGGCCGTACCAGGGCATTTGGGGGCTGGTTCCGATTGACATGAGCCGTCCTTGTTCTCACTATACGTGAATCGATCTTATCATTCAAGCCAACACTATCATTTACGCAGCTAACCAGCTTTTTGAACTTCTCGACTACTTCTATCTACTCACCATCCAGGGTGAGTACAGGATTAGAATCCTGCCAGTGTTGTAAAAGTACTTTGCACTTCGATGATGCAAAGCACATACCGTACCTACGGACATTGATTATTATTATTATTATTATTATTATTTTAACACATAAGTATAGGTACAGGGAGGCACCAAATACATATGCGCCACACAAATCTCAACTGATTTGTGTGAGGGATGTGATACTGCTCGGGTGCCCAAACCGAAGCAGGTGGTTTTCTTAGGGGGCCACACCCTGAGCCTTCGATCTGAAGATCTGATCCACAAGGCAGTGGAGCATCGTGAGGAGATGCAGTCCCATAGTAGCCGGTGACCAACGATTGGTTCATACGCCATTTGTTCGTTCAGGATACTGGAGCCCATGTGCACCATTGGATTGGGATCCGGTTAAAGCGCCGGAAATTCGCTTTTCGTCCTCTCATTTTCGTAGACAACACCCCCGCCACGAGAATGCAGTGAGTAGGACTTCCCTGGCAGAGGCTATATACGCATGGCCATGTGATTGCCAACCAATTAAGTGCGGGTTGCATGGCTTCTGTATCGCTGCACAGTAAGACAATTTCATCCGCATACTCAAGGTCGAGAAGTCTTTTTCCATGCAACAGATCCATACCGCCATTACTTACATCCATCAGAGCTGTTTCCAGAATGTCATCGATGGCAAAGCTTGAGAGGAGTGGTAAGATTAGGCAACCCTGCTGCTAACCCCACTGCTTGAATGGAACAACAGAGAAAGGTGGTTGTATGCCTTCACTCTACCTGAAATGTTTGTATATAGTGCTTTGAAGATGTTAATGAACTTCTCAGACACACCTTACTTCAATACACAATCACAGAGAACAATCCTGTCCAGCGAATTGAAGGTGGCTCTGATATCAAGGAACATTACGATTGTTAGTCTGTAACAAGTATGACGGTGTTCTCACACTTGGCGGAGGGTGAAGATATGATCAATACATCCTCGACCAGAACGAAGACCAGCCTGTTCCTCGTGATTCAATCTTTCTCGGGTTTCGAACAACCTACGAAGCATAACAGAAGCCAATAGTTTGGACGCTGTTGGAAGTGTACTTATCACTCGATAGTTATTGCATAGGTGATTTTATTACTTATTTATTTATTTTAACACACAGATATTGGTACAAGGAGGCACCAAATACATATGCGTCACACAGATCTCATTTGATATGTGTGAGGGCTGTGATACTGCTCGGGTGCCCAAACCGAAGCAGGTGGTTTTCTTAGGGGGCCACACCCTGAGCCTTCGATCTGAAGATCTGATCCACAAGGCAGTGGAGCATCGTGAGGAGATGCAGTCCCATAGTAGCCGGTGACCAACGATTGGTTCATACGCCATTTGTTCGTTCAGGATACTGGAGCCCATGTGCACCATTGGATTGGGATCCGGTTAAAGCGCCGGAAATTCGCTTTTCGTCCTCTCATTTTCGTAGACAACACCCCCGCCACGAGAATGCAGTGAGTAGGACTTCCCTGGCAGAGGCTATATACGCGTGGCCATGTGAGAGCATTTCGAGAGGGAGAGCAGACTCTTCCCACTCTCGGCCTTACCAGGGCATTTGGAGGCTGCATAGGTGATGTAAACCCTTTTTAAAGATAGGGACAACTATCGATTCATTACACAGTGTTTTAAAATTCTCTAATTGCCATACAACTAAGTCAGTTCCTTAACCTGAAGATCGACATCATCTGTACAAGGGACCAGAGGTAAGCAACTTTACTCACCATTTTTATGGCGTCATGCAATTGCAACCAATGCTCGTCTATACTTTTCGGTGGGATGGTAGCTAGCATTTGACCTAGCTCAGTTTAATATTTAGTTGCAACAGAATCTGCAACCAATTTTCTGAAATCGATGCGTTTAGGACGATGAATTTGTTGGTCACTGAAACGTAGGATAAGATTACCTCAAACAATGGTATGATCCGAGTCCAGATAGGTATTCTCAAAGGAGAGACGGTTTTGTGCACAACCACACCAGCGTTAGCTGATCACGATGTGATCAATCTGAGCCTAGGCTTGAGAATCAAAGGGAGGACACCAGGTGGCACATCAGCGGTGACTGTGCCTGTAGTTAGTGCTAACCAGAAACAGGTTGTGATCTGCACACAGTTGCAGTCGACGGTTACCGTTATCTGATCTGTGACCAAAAAGTTCCCATCGGCCATTCCAACGATTCTTTTTTGTGCTTAGACGCCCAACCCGCG